TTTTTCCATGTGAATCTTTTTTCTTTCCCTCCCTTCCTTCCTTCCTTTCTTCCTTCCTTCCTTCCTTCTTTCCTTCCTTCTTTTTCCTTCTTTGTGAGCAAAAGAGTGCATGCAAGATACAGGAAGCCTCAAGAGGGTGTAGAGCTTCTCCTTTGTGTGCAGCTTCTGGTAGACTTGAAGCACTTAGATGAAACGGAAGCCCTTCCTGCGAGAGTGTTTATAGACTACAAAAGTCAATCCTTCATCATGCAGGATTTTATTTTATTTTATTTTAATTAATTTATTTTTTTGGAGGGGGAGGTTTTTGCTATAGGGCACATGTGCTCGCCAGAAAGAGAGAGAGACAGAGAGACAGAAAACGAGAAATCACCCTCCCAAGGGGGGATGGCCACGCCACAATCCCTTTTCCTCCATTCTCCTCTCGAGATCTTGGACACACATGCACATGCACCATGTGTGAGTTTAAGACACCAGGTTCAGGACTTGAACCACACTCAACCACATGGGAGCCCAGCGACATAGCCATTATGTCAATTGCTGGTCCCCTTCACCATGCAGTATTTTAAAAGTCTATTCTTTTCTTTCTCAAGAAACAAGCAAGTTAAACTTCTATATTACATTTTCTTCCTCCTCCTACACATTTTTTTTTTTTGGAGAAGTTTTTGCTATAGGGCGCGTGCGCTCGCCAGACAGACAGAGAGAGACAGAGAGACAGAAAGTGAGAAATCACCCCCCAGGGGGGATGGCCACACCGCAATCCCTTCTCCTCCATTCTCCTCTCGGGATCTTGGACACACATGCACATGCACCATGTGTGAGTTTAAGACACCAGGTTCAGGACTTGAACCACACTCAACCACATGGGAGCCCAGCGACATAGCCATTATGTCAATTGCTGGTCCCCTTCACCATGCAGTATTTTAAAAATCTATTCTTTTCTTTCTCAAGAAACAAGCAAGTTAAACTTGTATATTATGTTTTCTTCCTCCTCCTACACATTCTTATTCACTCACTTATGCCAACACCTAAAGTAATCAGAATCGGGCCAGTTAAGGGTCTCCAACAACATCTATAAATTGCACTATAGTATCAAAGCAAAGAAAGTGACAGGCTCCAGAGGTTATCTACTCATTCTTCAGGACCTACTCCCAAATCAGTGAAAGATGCAGATCTAATACACTTAGGACTCAAAGGAAAATAAGATCATTATTGTCCTTATCTAAGAACTCCCGAATCTGGAAACTGGCATTAAGCACAACGTCACTTACTCAAATTTTAACTCAATTTTTGTTCTATCATTAACTGAGATGTCCAGGGAAAAGAATACTAGACATCACTCAATGATCGCAATTAAGTAACTATAAAGCGTACGGGGATATTAAAAATGTTAATGAGGGATGTAACTAAATTCTAAATATGTTTAAATTAGAGATTGTATATTAAAATGTTATCTGGAATATGTATTGCAGGCATAAACATGCAGTTTTTCCAGTAAATCCACTGTCTGTGGTTTAAAACTCTAATATATAGTTAATAAATTATGTAGAAGGGAATGCAATCATTTATTGTCTTGTCATCTGAGCATTTTAACCAGCACAACTGAGCTTTTTCGGTCCCCCTAGGATAGAGAGGAAGCTGGTCCACAGCAGTGATTGTTTTATATCAGACAACTGTTTACTTTAAATGTCATTTTCAAACAATTATAGTAATTTTATTGGTAAATCATAAACTCTCTCAAAAGTGAGAAAATTTGTGCACAGATAATATTTTAGTTTCAAATGAGAGCTTAGATTTCTAAAATTTACAGCAAAACTAGGTAATGCCAACACTGCAAGTCAGTCGAAATTTTAAATTTTTCTACAAGATTGAAGCATTAATGCCATACCAGCTTCAAATTTTCTTTCCAAGATTGACTCATCTTTATTGCCGTTTGCGTCTCCCTACAAAAGAAGAAATCAGTGCTGCAGTTCACCATCTGAGAGAAAAAAACATAATTGAATATACAAATGATCAGATTAGCGTAATTCAAAGGCTAGCACTCACCATTCATGCATTGTTTCTCTCTTCATTAGACCCATGGTTTCTTCCTGAAAGGTGAGAAAATGAAAAGAAAACTGAATACCTAGTTGTCATGGTTTTATGAAGTTTGATTTAATTCAATGGGCTTAAGAATTGCTAGAGTATAACAAAGCTCTAAAAAGGTGTCCGGTTCTCTTCTCTTCATTGCTGCACAAATCACCACACCAATGCATTCCGGTACATCAGCTCTATAGGGACTGATTAGCTGTACTGTGCTTCATTTGAAAGAGAAAACATCAAACATTCAAAATTACACCATTTCCCCCACCCATTAATACTATGATAGTAATAAATACTACTCATGAACTACTTCAGTTTGTCTCAAACAAACTGGCTCTCAGTGGTTCACTTAAGTAAATAATGGGACAAACATGGTATCGACTTAGCCAGTGACATAACAAATATGATTTATTCTCTGGGAAAAAATTGATTCTCCTCATGTACAGTTATAAAAGAGAGGTGCTCAGGAGGAGGGTCACCAAAAAGTTAGTAGTGGTTATCAATGAACAGAGACATTTGGAGTCATTTCTTCTGTCTTCGTATTTTACTGTACTGTTTGATATTTTTAGAATATGCACGTGTTATTTCTTATTTCATTTGCTAACTCTTACTTCATTTGCTATATTCTCGCTATATTGTTATATTCTTACATTACTATATATATTATTATCATATTCATATTTCACTTGCTGAATGCAAAGAGCAAAATGGCCCTTGTAAGTGTAAATTTTCTTAGTGAATATCCTCCAACTATTCGTGTACCTCTGCCATTAACATCATAATACATGTGCACACATAGGTCTGAAAAAGTCAGCACCATACTTTTACTGTCTTTCCAAAAGGGTCCTAGAAAGTGAAGGAAAAAACAAAATGGAAGGGGACCAGCAGTTGGTGTAATGGTTATGTCACTGAACTCTCATGTAGTCGACCGTGGTTCGAGTCCCGGACCCGGTGGCTTAAACTCACGCCGGGTGCGTGTGCGTGTAGGCCAGGATCCCGAGAGGAGAAAGAAGGATAAGGGATTATGGTGTGGCCATCCTCCCTGGAGGGTGATTTCTCGCTTTCTGTCTCTCTGTCTCTCTCTATCTTTCTGGCGAGTGCACGCACCCTATAGCAAAAACCTCTCCCCCCACTAAAAAAAAAAAAAAAAAAAAAAGCCACGCCAGCCAGGCACATGTGGTGCTTGCTCCTAACCCCACAGGATGGAGAACTGAGGAGAAAGGATTGGAGCATGAGCATGCCCCACTGGGAGTTGCTGTATCCCTCTCTCTCTGTCCCTCTGGTGAGCACATGCACCCTCTGGCAAATTAAAAAAAATGAAATTAAAAGAAATGAATGCCTTTACTAATGCCATTAAAGTGAATGTTCCAAATGCAAGGGGAGAGAACCAGACCTTTCTGTTTCACACTTAAAAGGTAAGTTCAACAGGAAAAAAGTCATAGTTAGAGAATGCAAGTAAAGGGATATGCAACTTAAGATATCTACCAGACTGGACCAGCAAGTAGGGTGGTGGTTAAGTTGCTGGACTCCCACTTGGCCAACTGCAGTTTGAGTCCTGGACCTGATGACTTGCTGTCTGTCTGCCTCTCGCCCTACAGAAAATTTTAAAAATAATAATGGTAGTAAATAAAATTAAACAA